TCTTGTATTTTATCGCTCTGCTGACCCTTGGGGTCCATTTTATTTTGGTATACCTTTTCTAGGTACGTTAGCCTGTGACCACGGAAATTGGCCGAGTCAAGTGATGGATTAGTACGGAGAGATTGAGACAGAAGGAGGTACTGGATAGAGAGACCGGGATGGTTTTTAATGTGAAGACAACAACAACAACAACAAGGGGTCAGAAGGGTATACCTCCTGACCGACCCGCATCCTATCAACAATATGATGTACCCTATTCATGCTAGCAGCCACACTCCTTTAACACTTTGACAAGAATTAATGAACCACCGTTCTCTGAACGACGGCCGCTTGGAGGGATTCGTCCATTTTTGCGCACGCCACATGCAAACGTGTGGCCGATCCCGTGAGAATTAAACGGAAAGCGTGTACTCCGCGTCCATTTTGGCGGCGATTCCCATGGGCATCAGATATTGCCGCTCGCTCTGCCCACACCCGAAGAGCTTTCACTGTGCACAAACCTCTCTTTTGCATCATCTTTCTTGCTTTCTCAAATACCTCCGCTATTCCGCGACCACCCATATCCGGACTGTCTCGCTACACCCTCCGGAAAGAGTAAGAGGAATAAATACCCTGGTACCATCACCCGCCACATACATTTTCAGCTCATTCTGGTGGTTGGCAAGAACAATACCAAAGGAACCATATGATTAAAACACAACTTGTGAGTTGCGGACGGACGCAGCAGACACGACTTGAGAGGTGGCAGCACTCAATCATGCAATAAATCAAACGTCATCCCCCCATTTTTTCTCGGACGCGGGACAAGTTACGCCGACCGCAACAAGAAAAATACGACAACGTACGGAGACAGTGAACGCACCTACCACCCGACTTGCGTTGGAGGACACATCAACCTCCGCAGCCGTTTTTCTGCTATATGCCCTAAAATACCCAACAAAGAGTTGCTGTGGGTTTGAAGTTCAACGATGACTACTGAATCGCCTTCTATCCTTCGCCGGCGATATTTTTCGGCCTACAATATATGCATGATATATAGACCATATCGAACACGGAAACCGCAACAACGAAAAAAAAAAAGGATTGTAGCGACGCTGCGATACACATCCAATTCGCAAAGAGTTCAACTCGCGCTCCCACACAGCCTTCACACAAACGGTACATGTCCAGCAACCCCAACAGACACCATGCAACTCTCCGTGCCAGTGATCTCGATCAAAACGGTTCCAAAACACTGCTCTCTATACATGGGTTCCTGAACTTCGACACGCCTCGTCTCCCTACACTGCAATCTGTCACAAATGTGGACCGAGCCACATATTGCTCTCGCGCCCCCTCCTCCACGCCCACATTATATATAGATCTCTCTTCATCGAACGCGCTTAAAAAAAAAAAACTGGAACCCACCCCAATACCGAGCAAGTGTAGTTATATATTATACTGTATATTGGTGACCAGACTCCGGGGACAGAGGAACTCCATCCCCGTACCGAGCCCCAGCAGCAGCACTCCCTGCTGCTACAGACGCCGACCCCGCCGTAGCCGCCGCCGTCGCCGCGGCCGCCTTCTCTCGCATCTGTGCCATGAGAACCCGCTGCCTCCGCTGCACCTCCGCGATGGGCACGAACTCGGACTCGAGGGGCAGGAAGCGGCCCTTGTGCCTCGGCCTCGAGTTGGCCACGCGCTGGCGGCTCTGGTAGCAGGAGGCCTTGGACCAGCGGCGCCTCTGCTTCTTGGCAAGGTAGCGAGCGACTTTCTGCCGCCGAACCTGCTCCTTCAAGCTGACGATGGCGTCAGCGTCGTCGTCGCCACCATCCCAGTCGGTGACAGCAGCAGCGGCAGCAGCGTCCTGATGCTTAGCCTTCTCTTTCCTCCGTGCCGCTCCTCCTCCATCTGCATTGACCCCCGGTGCCGCGACTACCTCCACTGCCGCCACTGCCGCCGCCGCCACCGACCGGATCGGCGAGACATCGCCAACGCCCGAGACCTCCGCACCGCCACCCGCTACCGGCGAACCCATCACCCCCCCCTGCCCCCCCGCAGCGGCAAGAGGAGGAGGAGGAGCAGCAGCAGCAGCAGTCATCACCGGCTCTGATGCCTCTCCGCCCCCCGCCACAATGTCCGGCAGGATCTCGATTTCGTGGTCGGACGAAGGAGACCGCGGCGCACCGCCGCCGCCACCGGTCCCCGCGTTAGACGCGCCCTTTGCCGACCCCGCCGGCAGGAAGTCGGCCAGGTCCATGTCGGCCAGGTAGGCCAGGCCTTCCTCCGAGATGGCGGCGCCCCCTTCCCCCTCACAGCCCTCTTCCAACATCATGCTGTCGCCGTAGTCATCGTCTCCGGCTAGCGCAATGAACTCGTCGAGGAAGCCGTCCACGTTGTCTGCGATGTCTCCCTCGCCGCTGACGTTGAGGCCAACGTCCATGCTGTCGAGTTGCTTGTTCTCGCCGCTTTCGTTCTCGGTGATGATGATGCTGTTCTTGTTCTTGCAGAGCGTCCCGGCAGCCGGTACGGTGGCGGTGGAACCGCCACCCGCCCCGACCTCGCTGTTGCCGTTGTTGCCGCCGGCGTTTATCTTGCGGCGGCTGCTGTCCACCGTGCCCTTGAGGGGGCGGTGTGCTCCCGAGCACGCCCGGAACGGGGCATACATGTTGATGATGGTCTCGTCGTCGTGCATGACGGCGAAGAGTCTTAACTGGAAAAAACAAGCTGATCAACGACTGGCTGAGCAAAAATCGCCCACGACAGCAGCGACGATCGTTACTTTTTTTTCCTTTTTTTTTTCCTTTGCACCCTTCCCCTGATGTGCGGAACTGGTCGTTTGCCCCTTTGTCGTTCCGTCGTAATAGCCGTGTTTATTGACGTCTTGGCCGTCGTGGCTTTTACGTGCTCTGCTTAGCTGGCAGCCCTTCTCGTTTGCCTCTCTCTGCTCTCGGCTATCGTTTCTTTCTACGGCCTCGATAATGTTTTTGGCGTCCAAGCTTGTGTGCGGACTGACGGTAGTGCTGCGTGGAGATCCTTGACATATTGGTGGCAGAAGTCAGAAGTGCTGGTAGCGCTGGGATATTTTGGCGAGCAGGTTTCTGGCAGAAATCTGGGGAGAGCAAAGAGCGGCCAAAGTTGGAGAGTCGGGGGTGGAGGGGCTGGTGAGGTTGAGCTTAAGTGGAGGCGTTTGACAAATCTGTAGTGGTATGCGTTAAGTGATTTCTTGGTGTAGCAGAATACAAAGGCGCTTGACTGGAAACAGGCAAAGGGGTGTGGCGCAATGTAAAAAACGAGTAGAGAGCGTATGAAAATACAAATCTGCCGGCATTTTTCGTCTTTTGAAGACGATGTCAACACGTCACTTGCAGCGGTGATTATCAAGGAGAATGTAAACAAGACTCGCAGGGCCTTTACGTTAGGGACTATCGCCAGGAACTACGCCCCCTTTAGGGCGAACCCTGTGTGTACAAAGGGCAGGGACGATAAGCTGATGGTTCGCGTTGACTAGGAAATTCTCGCTCAAGACCAACAACTGCACGTGTATCCACACCACGATGCACGTTCAACAGGTTCCCCGGGCCTTTCGACCAATGGAAAGAAAAAATCGTTTCATGCGTACAAGTGTCGCCCGTGTGGGGCCCAAGACATGTGCATGTGATAGCGTCACAGCAGTCCCGATTTTGCCTTCCGAAACATGACGATAAACAGGAGCCACAAAGCAGTAGAAAAGAAAAAAAACACTCGCGGAAACAAGGTGGACAGGGAGCAATGGGGAAAATGGGACGTTGAACTTAGGAATAGGGCTCAACAGCACGAGCGGCGTTGGCACTGCTGTTCCCTACATATTGTCAGGACCGCCTTCACGGCTCTGGAGCCCACTTGCAGGAAAGCACAGCATGCATTTCGATTTCACCCGATGGGGCACATGCAAAATCATACTTGAAGCACTGCCTCACGTGATATAGGACCAAATCAAGAAGGAGGGGGGGGGTCTGTTGTAAGAAAGATTTACAGTTCCTGTACGTACAAGTCATCCTTCGTAAATAAATGCACCGAAGGACGCCAGAGATGGCACCCCCTCTAGACCTACTTTCAAAGCCCGATTGCACAACAAACAAGTGGATCCGGAAGAGCCCGATACGTCTACAGGAAGCCCTCGACGAGATGTTTCCAAAACCAACATGTTTGGTGACGGTTGTGGGTCTACAGCATAGGGGGGGTGCAATCCTCGCGTTCTTCGGTAGTCGGCACCCCTGCCGTGCAGCAGTACACTCTATGGGTACACATCTGTCGGATACTGCTGTAACGATTAAGAGAGGTACATGTAAACCCTGCATAAAACGTTTGACTACAAACGAGGTTTACTGGTACCTCTTGTCACTGCTGTTGCAACTCTATATTGGTCCAGTAGACTGTGTGTACAACCAATACAAGTGTGGATATGTACTGCTGTATGCTTCACTACCATGCTACAGCACAGAACCATGCTAACCCTATAGTCTATGCATACAGTAAGCACCTTGACCAAACGGAAATCACGTGGGCGAGGTGAACAGGGTTCAACTCAAAGAAAAAAGAGGATTGACTCGAGGAGATGATCGAGAGCGCCAAACACATGGGCACGTGAACCGGGAGAAAAAGCGAACGCTACTAGCACACTCTCGGGTCGAGGATGGAGGAACACAAGCGAGCGGCGCATCGATCAACAAGACGCGGTGTGCTCGTGCTAGCAGCTACTGAAACGGGCACAGGAGGAAGCTCAGAGAGGGAAGGAAAGACAGAGATGTATCACAGACAATCGTAGCAGATGTCTCACTCCGCCCTGCTGCCAGTCAAGAATTAGACTTGAACAGGACGTGGTAGTTTGAAACAGCCTCTGGCAACGTCTTGTAAAATAGGTAGCAAGTACATTAGTACGTTAGACTGTGACCACGGAAATTGACCGAGTCAAGTGCTGGATTAGTACGGAGAGATTGAGACAGAAGGAGGTACTGGATAGAGAGACCGGGATGGTTTTTAATGTGAAGACAACAACAACAACAACAACATTCGTAGTCGAGAGACTCCCACGCGAAGGCCAGCACAATAGTGACAGGGAACAAGGAAAAAAGGAAGGACGGGAACGAGAGGAAGTGAGAAGGGAGGCTGTCACGAGAAGGGAGGCTGTCACAGCCCGTCGCTCACCTCGTCTAATCAGCAGGATGCCATAGTGAAGACCTTGGGAAGGTAGTGTGACGACGGGGGGAGGGAGAGAGGGACCAGGAGCGACAACCAGCCAGACCGTTCCACAGATTGTTCCCCGTGGTTGCTCAGCACGCCCAAAAATATCTTGATTTCAATGTTGACATGCGGCGTAATCTGCCCACCAATCGGACTCCGGGGTGCCGGGGTGGGCCCGTGCTGGCTGCTGGCGTCCGTGCGCCTGTGCGCTCTTGCGCTCGTTACTCGTTACACACACCCCTCAACTACGATGTGTTCAGGACGAGAATGGCCGACCCCTGAAGCTAGACCGCGCCGGAGCGATGCTAAGCGTAGGCTGCAGGAGGTGCAAGACCTCCAGGTTTGTTGCTGGGTCACAGACCCGCCGCTGTGTAGTGATTGATCGATCAAAAGCGAACCTCGATCTTATTTCGATGCTGGTTCGTCTGTCAGGAATGTGAACACCTGTCATGTAGGCACACTCGTTTGCTTGCATATGGTTTACCCATGCCAAGAAGTTACCGGTTGATACCGCTGCCGCTGTCCAAGCAGAGTTTCGGATGCAAAGTTGGAGGCTAGCCGAGGGGGGGGGGGCAGGCTGTTCTACTTTGGTTCGACTCTAATCTGTGGCAGACGGCAAAGTGTTTTCCCATGCCTGCCTGTTGCTCTCTGCACGTGTCACCCACCCTATCAACCAAGTGGGTGCAAGACGAGTCCTGCACTCGCCAGTCCATTCACGGGTGGCCCTTTAGTCATCCCCTCTTAATTGCAAGCACGCACGCGGGGCCTTGTTCTCACCAGCCCTGTATAGCCCAACCCAGAGAACAGCAGTACGCTGTTGCTTGTTTCTCCGGTACTTGAAACAGCGCTTCCGGCAGTTTCGCCGCATGACGTGCGTGTAGCCAGAGAGCAGGGCCGCCAAGCAGCCAAGGAGTATCCAACCCCCCCCACACACCCGGTCCGAACGTTCTTCGTTTCCTCGTGTGAGCGAAGGCTTATCATCGCGATTGAGTCGTGCGTGCAACCTTGCCTCCCTGAATCACGCGAGAGAGCGACTCACGCTCACCAGCTCTATCACGCCCTCTGGCTGCTTCAACCAAGCGAACGAGTGTTTGCCTGTGCTTACGGTGGTGTTCTTGAACCCTGCGTGCCACAACACATTTCCGACCATATATATATCAACACTGATGTTGCTGCTTTTTCCATCTTTCTGCGCGTCATTTGAGACCCACGAGCACTTGTCGTGCCCTATTTCCTGTGTGCATAGAAAGTAATCACACGACGACGGCTACGCGGTAAAGACCGGTTGAAGGGGCGCGTTGAAGCCTTTAAAGCAGTGAGGGTTGGGAGACACGTGCTGGTGACCGGATTTTTTTTAGGATTTGAAGCCCCATACGTTGAGAATCATAGTGATGCCAGTCGGCACAAACGCACAACACACTTGCTTGCCGCTCTAATCCTGGAGGCGGACGTCGTGCGTTTTCTACGTCGTGGGTTCGGGGATCGTGCCTGTGCCATCCCTTGGTCTCCAAAAAACTCTAGAACAAGTTGGGATGCTAGCCACGCGCGACCCCCCCCCCCCCCCCCCCCCC